GACTTGGTGTTTGCTACAGCTGACACTGCTGGATTCGCCCACGTGAAGTCCGAGCTGCAGAAGAGACACACGTGCACAGACCTGGGTGAACTGCGCAGCTATCTTGGCTTGCAGATCACCCGGGACAGAGCACGGCGCACCATTACCCTGACTCAGTCACACATGGTGCAGCAGGTCCTTCAGCGCTTCGACTTCACGTACTCCTCGCCTCAGGCCACTCCTCTGTCTACTCGCCACTCGCTCTCAGCTCTGCCTTCGGATGAGTCCGTAGAGCCGAGTGGCCCGTACCCAGAGCTTGTTGGCTGCCTCATGTACCTGATGACCTGCACTCGACCTGACCTGGCATACCCTCTTAGCATCTTGGCACGCTATGTTGCTCCTGGGAGACACCGACCAGAGCACATGGCTGCCGCGAAGAGGGTGTTGCGCTACCTGTGCAGTACGTCGGGCATGGGGCTCGTGCTTGGAGGGCGGAGTCCAGTGGTCCTCACTGGTCACGCAGACGCGTCTCGGGTTGACGACCTGGCTACTCAGCGGTCGTCACAGGGTTACACCTTCAGCCTTGGTTCCGGTTCTGTTTCGTGGCGGTCTACCCGCTCGTCTTCTGTTCTCAGCTCCAGCTGTGAGGCTGAGATCTACGCAGGAGCCATGGCTGCACAGGAGTTACGCTGGCTTACCTTTCTTCTGACTGACCTGGGAGAGCCGCCTCGTTCTCCTCCAGTTCTGTACGTAGACAACAAGGCCATGTTGGCCTTGTGTCGGGAGCACAGACCGGAGCACAGAACGAAGCACATTGCTCTCCGCTACTTCCTTGCTCGTGAGCTGCAGCAGCGTGGTCAGCTGCGCCTTGCTTACGTGGCCTCTCAGGCCAACACTGCTGATATCTTCACCAAGGCACTTCAGCCTTGTGATCATCAGCGTTTCTGTACTATGCTAGGTCTTGTGCCTACTTGGCCTCACTTGCTTACCTCTTGACTTTTCTTGTACTGTGATCTATATATACCTGCACCTGCTTGTTTACCTTTTATATATAATCCTGCATGTGAACTGGCCTTGTGGCCTTTGCACCTGTGCTCGGAATGTGTGGTGACGTTGTGATCCACCCTGAGCTTGCTTTGCTTTGCTTTGCTTGACTGGTTTTGTGACCCCTTGTTCTCCCCCACTTTGCGTATGGGGGTGTGTCAAACATTAATCACATAGCCTGTTTAGGCTGTAGTGGGGTAGACACTATGGGGTACAGTTTCTTAGGGTTTCATATTTGTACCCAACTCATTTTCCTACTCAATCATTCATTCCTGTTTCTTCACACTTCTTGCCCTTTTTGGCAATGCGCGTCCAATCACGCGCGGTCATATAATTCACGACCATATATTTAGGCGATAAAGGGTCGCCCAAGAATCAATATGAGCGCGCATATACTACCATTAGTTCTATCATATTTCCAGTCCATATAGAACTATGTATATCAAATGCCATAAATATATTCTCTGCTATTAATTTAAACCCTTCATAACCTTGGTGGCAGCATATTATGCTGGGCTTAAATTAATGTTATGCTGCCGAACATATTATTTCTGCAACCATATTACCGGCAATACAATATTATGGGCCACGGTGTCATGGGCTTAAATTAATATTATGATAGGCCACGATACAATATTATGTCTAGTATGATGGGCTGAAATTAATAGCAGATAATATATTTATGGCATTTGATATATATGGTTTTATATCGACCGGACATATGATAGAACTAATGGTAATATATGCGCGCTCATATTGGTTTTTGGGCGACCCTTTATCGCCTAAATATATGGTCGTGAATTATATGACCGTGCGTGATTGGACGCGCATTGCCAAAAAGGGCAAGAAGCATATTATCGACCAATCGTGCGCGGTCAATAATATGTTCGTGCATTTATGCTTTGGCGTTGCAGTTTATGATCGCTGATGTAATTGCCCACGCGCTCATTGGTCGCGCATTGGGCCGAAAATGACCGCGCATCTACTATTGTGCTAACGAGGAATTTCGGGGGTACGAACCCTTGTAGGGTTATGTGCCAGGGAAAAAAAACACCTCGAAAATGCCCTGGCATGGCCACTCGAGCAATTATCACTGAATTGGATGGCCACTCGAGCAATTCGGGGACACGTGGGCAAGAGCGAATCACCAAACAAGGCACTGGAGCAATTCTCTCCACGCGCTTTCTGGCCACTGCTGTCACTGACCCTTTCTTTGAGTCCACTGCTGCGTCTGCTCTCGTTGTTGAGCTTGTTGACTTTGCTGCAGCCTGTCGCCTAGACTACGCCACTAGTCTTGTTGTTGAGTCTGCGTCTGCGTATGTCTGTCCTCCGTCCGTCGAGGGTGAGTGTGCTCTTGGCACGGACGTTCTTGAGGACAGACAGGAGGAGTTTGAGTGCTTTGCCGCTGCTGTACCTCATCTCGTGTCCATGCTGCTTGCCCCTGAGGGATACCCGGATGCACCAGACATCCCGACCCCGCGCTCTTACGCAGAGGCGATAGAGGGTCCCTACTCCTCTCAGTGGCAGGCAGCCATGGACGCCGAGATGGCTTCCTGGAAGTCCACAGGCACCTACGTCGACGAGGTTCCCTCGCCTGGGGCGAACATCGTCAGTGGCATGTGGATCTTCAGGGTGAAGCGGCCGCCGGGCTCTCCGCCTGTCTACAAGGCGCATTACGTTGCACGTGGCTTCAGTCAGCGACAGGGAGTTGACTTCTTCCAGACCTTCTCCCCTACCCCGAAGATGACCAATCTTCGAGTACTGCTGCGCGTTGCCGCTCACCGTGACTACGAGCTCCACTCGCTTGACTTCAGCACAGCCTTCCTACAGGGCAGCCTGCACGAGGAGATCTGGCTGCGCCGCCCACCTGGCTTCACTGGGTCGTTTCCTGCTGGTACCCAGTGGAGCCTCCGGCGGCCAGTCTACGGTCTCCGCCAGGCACCCCGTGAGTGGCACAACACACTGAGGACGACTCTTGCTGCTCTTGGTTTTGCTCCTTCCACTGCTGACCCGTCGCTGTTTTTACGCACTAACACCACTCTGCCGCCTTTCTACATTCTCGTGTGCGTAGACGACTTGGTCTTTGCTACTGCTGACACTGAGGCACTCGCCCACGTGAAGTCCGAGCTGCGTAAGAGACACACGTGCACAGACCTGGGTGAGATGACAAGCTATCTTGGCTTGCGGATCACCCGGGACAGAGCACAGCGCACCATTACCTTGACTCAGTCACACATGGTGCAGCAGGTCCTTCAGCACTTCGGCTTCACGTACTCCTCGCCACAGTCCACTCCTCTGCCTACCGGTCACTTGCTCTCAGCTCCACCTTCGGACGAGTCCATAGAGCCGAGTGGCCCGTATCCAGAGCTTGTGGGCTGCCTCATGTACCTAATGACTTGCACACGACCTGACCTCGCATACCCTCTCAGCCTTCTGGCTCGCTACGTGGCTCTCGGTAGGCACCGAAAGGTGCACTGGGATGCTGCGAAGAGGGTGTTGCGCTACTTGTGCAGTACGTCGGACATGGGGCTCGTGCTTGGAGGACGGGCTTGAGTTGTCCTCACTGGTCACGCAGACGCTTCCTGGGTGGACGACTTGGCTACGCAGTGGTCGTCACAGGGTTACACCTTCAGTCTTGGCTCCGGTTCTGTCTCTTGGCGGTCTACCCGCTCTTCTTCTGTTCTCAGCTCCAGTTGTGAGGCTGAGATCTACGCTGGGGCCATGGCTGCACAGGAGTTACGCTGGCTCACCTACCTGCTGACCGACTTGGGAGAGGCACCTCGTTCTCCTCCAGTTCTGTACGTCGACAACAAGGCCATGCTTGCCTTGTGTCAGGAGCACAGACTGGAGCACAGAACGAAGCACATTGCTCTGCGCTACTTCCTTGCTCGAGAGTTGCAGCAGCGTGGTCAGCTTCGCCTTGCTTACGTGGCCTCTCGGGCCAACACTGCTGATGTTTTCGCCAAGGCACTTCAGCCTTGTGATCATCAGCGTTTCTGTACTGTTCTAGGCCTTGTACCTACTGTGCCTCACTTGCTTACTTCTTGACTCTGCTTGTACTATACATATACCTGCATGCTTACACTTGCTAGGTTTTGTTCACTGTATTGTTTGTTCTCCTTTATATAACCCTGCATGTGAACTGGCCTTGTGGCCATTTGCTTGTGCTCAGACTGCGTGGTGACTTTGTGATCCACCCTGAGCTTGCTTTGCCTTTCTTGACTGGTCTTGTGGCCTCTTGTTCTCCCCCACTTTGCCTATGGGGGTGTGTCAAACTTCTATACTATAGTTTATGTAGGCTGTAGTGGGGTAGTTCATATAGGGTACAACCTTTTTAGGTTTCCTACTTGTACCCACCTGCCTCCTAGTTCATTCATTCCTTCCTTGGATTCTGACAAGTCGCCCGTCGCGGCCCCGTCGACCTAGGCCCCCCGGCCCCTCGGCCCCGTCGCCCCTGGCCCCTCGGCCCCGTCGTGGCCCGTCGCCCGTCGCCCCTTGCCTAGACCTCGGCCCCGCGGCCCCGTCGACCTAGGCCCCCGGCCCCTCGGCCCCGTCACCCCTAGCCCCGTGGCCCCGTCGCCCTAGGCCCGAGGTCCCTCGGCCCCTACTCTCCTGGCCCCGCGGCCCCGTCGACCTAGGCCCCCGGCCCCTCGGCCCCGTCGCCTCTGGCCCCGCGGCCCCGTCGACCTAGGCCCCGAGGCCCCTCGGCCCCTACTCTCCTGGCCCCGCGGCCCCGTCAACCTAGGCCCCCCCCCCGGCCCCTCGGCCCCGTCGCCCTTGGCCCCGCGGCCCAACGCCCCTAGGCCCTAGGCCCCTCGGCCCCGTCTCCCCTGGCCCCGCGGCCCATTCGCCCCTAGGCCCCAGCCCCTCGGCCCCTACTCTCCTGGCCCCGTGGCCCCGTCGCCCGTCGCGCAACGCCCCTATGCCCGTCGGCCCCTTCGCGCCCGCCGCCCCTAGGCCCGTCGGCACCGTCGCCCCTAGGCCCCGGCCTTGTCGCCAAAGGCGCCGTCGTCTGTGGTTTTGTCTCCCGCGGCCACGTCGCCCGAGGACCTGTCGCCCGCGGCCTCGTCGCCCCTTGCCTCGTCGCCCGAGGACCCCCCCCCCCCCCCCCCCCCAACTTCGTTCTCCCTCTCCCTGCTGCGCGTGCAGCAGAAAAGGAGGGGGGGGGGGGGGAGGGGAGGGAAGGGAGTTGGGGGCGCGGATCATGGAGGGCGAGGGGGTGGCAACAGGGGTGCGGTTCCGGGGGGTGGCTGACCTAGGGGGTGGCAGGAGGGGTTTCTGCAACGCCAGCCACCCACCACCTCCTCCTCTCTCTCTCCCTGCCGCACCTTGTGTTGGGAGGGGGGGGAGCTTGGAGGTTAAGGGGGTGGCGGGGAGGGGATCTGCAGCATCAGCCCCTCCCCCCCCCCCCCCCTTCTCCTCCATTCCACTGCTGCGGGTGCAGCAGTGGGGGGGAGGGGATCTGCAGCACCAGCCCCCCCCCCCCCCCCCCCGCCCCCCACTTCTCCTCCATCCCTCTGCTACGGGTGCAGCAGTGGGGGGAGGGGATCTGCAGCACCAGCCCCCCCCCGCCCCCTCTTCTCCTCCATTCCCCTGCTGTGGGTGCAGCAGTGGTGGGGAAGGGATCTGCAGCACCAGCCCCCCCCCCCCCCCCCCCCCCCCCCCCCCCCCCCCTTTCTCCTCCATCCCCCTGCTGCGGGGGGGAGTATGGGGGTGGCGGGATCTTGGAGGTTCAAGGGGTGGCTGGAAGGAATCTGCAGCACCAGCCCCTCTCCCCCCCCCCCCCCTTTTCCTCCATCCCTCTGCTGCGAGTGCAGCAGTGGGGGGAGGGGATCTGCAGCCCTGTGCGCCCCGCGCGCCCTGCTGCCCTGCTGCCCTGTGCGCCCCGCGTGCCCTGCTGCCCTGCTGCCCTGTGCGCCCCGTGCGCCCTGCAGTCCTGCGCGCCCCGCGCGTCCTGCAGCCCTGCGCGCCCTGCTGCCCTGTGCGCCCCGCGCGCCCCGGTGCCCTGCAGCCATGTTCGCCCCGCGCGCCCTGCTGCCCTGCAGCCCTGTGCTCCCCGCGTGCCCTGCAGCCCTGTGCGCCCCGCGTGCCCTGCTGCCCTGCTGCCCTGTGCGCCCCGTGCGCCCTGCAGCCCTGCGCGCCCCGCGCGCCCTGCTGTCCTGCTGCCCTGCACGCCTTGCGCGCCCTGCAGCCCTGTGCGCCACGCGCGCCCTGCTGTCCTGTGCGCCCCGCACGCCCTGCAGCCCTGTGCGCCCCGCGCGCCCTGCTGCCCTTCAGCCCTGTTCGCCCCGCGTGCCCTGCTGCCCTGCAGCCCTGTGCGCCCCACGTGCCCTGCTGCCCTGCTGCCCTATGCGCCCCGCGCGCCCTGCTGTCCTGCAGCCCTGTGCGCCCTGCGCGCCCTGCTGCCCTGCTGCCCTGTGCGCCCCGCGCGCCCTGCAGCCCTGCGCGCCCCGCGCGCCCCGCACGCCCTGCTGTCCTGCTGCCCTGCGCACACCGCGCGCCCTGCAGCCCTGCGCGCCACGCGCGCCCTGCTGTCCTGCGCGCCCCGCGCACCCTGCGGCCCTGTGCGCCCCGCGCGCCCTGCTGCCCTGCTGCCCTGTGCGCCCCGCGCGCCCTGCTGCCCTGCAGCCCTGTTTGCCCCGCGCGCCCTGCTGCCCTGCAGCCCTGTGCGCCCCACGTGCCCTGCTGCCCTGCTGCCCTGTGCGCCCCGTGCACCTTGCAGCCCTGCGCGCCCCGCGCGCCCTGCGCGCCCCGCGCGCCCTGCGCGCCCTGCGCGCCCTGCAGCCCTGCGCGTCACGCGCGCCCTGCTGTCCTACGCGCCCCGCGCGCCCTGCAGCCCTGTGCGCCCCGCGCGCCCTGCTGCCCTTCAGCCTTGTTCGCCCCGCGTGCCCTGCTGCCCTGCAGCCCTGTGCGCCCCGCGTGCCCTGCTGCCCTGCTGCCCTGTGCGCCCCGCGCGCCCTGCAGCCCTGTGCGCCCCGCACGCCCTGCTGTCCTGCAACCCTGTGCGCCCCCCGCGCCCTGCTGCCCTGTGCGCCCCGCACGCCCTGCAGCCCTGCACGCCCCACGCGCCCTGCTGTCCTGCGCGCCCCGCGCGCCCTGCTGTCCTGCTGCCCTGCGCGCCCCGCGCGCCCTGCAGCCCTGCGCGCCCCGCGCGCCCTGCAGCCCTGCGCGCCACGCGCGCCCTGCGGCCCTGTGCGCCCCGCGCGCCCTGCTGCCCTGCTGCCCTGTGCGCCCGCGCGCCCTGCAGCACTGCGCGCCACGCGCGCCCTGTTGTCCTGCGCGCCCCGCGCACCCTTCTGCCCTGGTGCCCTGTGCGCCCCGTGCGCCCTGCTGCCCTCTGCACGCGCATCTGCGGCCCCATGCACAGCCCCTACCCCCCCCCCCCCCCCCCCCGCTTCTCCTCCCTCTCCCTGCTGCACGTGCAGCAGTTTGGGTGGGAGGGGAGGGGAGGGGAGGGGAGGGTGTGAGGGGGAGGTTGCACCTACAGTGCCAGCCTGCCTCCTCTCTCTCCCAGCCGCACCTGCTGCTGTGGGGGGGAGTTTGAAGTGGTGGGGAGGCTCAGGGGATGTGGGTGGTGGGTGACACAACTGCCACAAATGTCGCCACGCCTCCTCCTCTCTCTCCTCACTGCTGCTGCTGCTGCTGTGCGGGGGGGGGTTGAGGGGGTGCTGTGAGTCCAGCTGCAGCATCAGCCGGCTCCTCATTTGCCCTCTCCTTCTTCCGCTGCGCAGGGTGAAGTTTTCAGGGGGTGTTCTGCACATGGCTATTCCTGCATGCAGTTAGGGGGTGTGTCAGAATATATTATATATATTTCTGTATAAATGCATATAGTTATAGCTGTAGTGTAGTTACAGTTTTAGTCCCTGTAGGTGGTGCACCCTTTGCCATCTCTCGCTCCTATATCTTGTACTTTGCTTTCTTAGTGAAACACTTCTTCCTTGCTCTCTCAACTCTCTCAACACTTGCCTAGCTCTCGCACCCTAGGCACCACTAAGTAATTCTAACACACCCGTCGTTCGCACGTGATATCCCTACCGAAGTCCCCTCTGACTGCAACGTGCGTCGCCACCACTCAAACGCCGGTCCACGTAACAGCGACACTGCAAAATTAATGCGGGTGGCATCATCAGCAATTTGCGCAGCATTGAAGAAAACCTCCACTCCGAACAACCATGCCGACATAGTGACGTTCTTGTCGCTGGGGTTGAACGGGAGCGGGTTTGTTGGTTTAAATCTGACTGTTGTAGAAACTGTTGCTGTTGCCGACACTGTTGCCGCTGCTGAAGCCTACGCCGGTATTGTTGCTGGTGCATGTTGTGGCATTGTTTGCGACTGTTGCCGTTGTGCCCGCCATTCATCAACAACATCCATGGAGCCTTCCAGCTCACTGGAAACGGCCTCGTTCGGCGTGGAGCTGCTACTCGCTTCGTCCACGACGGGCGACTCCTGGCGCACTTTCACCTCGCGCCTCTGCAGAAATCGTCTGCATGCAGGCCTACATCGCCCGGGACTGTTGCAGAAACTCGTTAAACTTGGCCTGCTCTATATTTCTCAGGCTTCGCCTAACGGGCAGGGGGTTAACAACGATTTTTATGACTTTGACGAAGGCATGAACGCTAACATAGTCGGAGTAAAATAATCGTATCTATTTCACAGCCGACAGCTTTGCAACCCACCAAGTCTATCGCACCTCGTCACTAAAACTACCCTGGAAACGTGAGGGTAACCTAGGAAAGTAGCTCTGATACCAAGGGCTATGATTTGTAATAAAAAGAGTGCGCATGATCTGTCAGAATAATGAACGAGAATGAATGAACTAGCAAAGAGTTGGGTACAAGTACTAACCCTAATTGGGTTGTACCCCTTATGGGCTACCCCACTATAGCTTACACAAATGTAAGCTATATATAAGTTTGACACAGCCCCATAGGCAAAGTGGGGGAGAACAAGTGGTCACAAGACCAGTCAAGAAAAGCAAAGCAAGCTCAGGGTGGTGTCAAACTCATATGCTATAGTCTGTTTAGGCTGTAGTGGGGTAGTCCTTACATGGTACAACACTTTTAGGTTTCCCATATGTACCCACCTGCTTTCTAGTTCAATCATTCATTCCTCGTTATTCTCACATGGTATCAGAGCAGGTTCCCTAGTGGAACTGTTTTTTTTTAGGGCCCACCACTAAAAAAAAAAATTTCCTTACCTGCCCGAAGCGCGCGTCGCGTCTGTCCTATCTGCGCCCCGTGCGCCTGCCCTTTGAGGCCCTTCGCGGCCCGTAGCGGCCCCTTCGCGTCCCTTAGAGGCCCCTTGCGACCCCGCCCCGGCCCTGCCCCGTCGCCTGAAGCCGCCGCGTCGCGGCCCGGCCCGTCGAGTGGGGGCTTCAGTGGCGGCAGTGGAGGTGGTGGAGGCAGCGGCGGAGGTGGTGGAGGCAGCGGCAGCGGTGGTGGAGGTGGCGGCGGCGGTGGTGCTGGGCGAGGTGCAGCCGCGCAGCATGGAGGCTCTGGTGGTAGCCAGCGCCAGCAGCAGCCGCGCTCCCGTGAGACCCCGTCGGCCCAGCAGCTTCGTGAGTGGTACGCTGGGCGTGGGAGGTCTGGGGGTGCTGGTCCCTGCACTTACGTTCTTCGCTCCGGCACTCGTAGTGGGGAGGTGTGTGGGCTCCCACACACTACGCAGCGCTGCTTCGGTCGCTTGACTGACGCTTGGCGTGCCCAGTTTCCTGACGCTGTTGAGCTCCCTCGCTGGCATGATCTGCTTCTGTAGAATGTGCCTATCTCTGATCTAGACTTTGATGCTATCCTTGCTGCCATGTATGCTCTTACTGATATTACTGAGGGTGACTGTTACCTGAGTGTCCCGCCCGACCCGGGCACTGCGGCTACTGCTCTGGGTGCTAGTGCGGCTGCTGCTCTAGGTGCTAGTGCGTCTGCTGCTCCAGGTACTTGTGTGTCTGCTGCTCCAGGTGCTGGTACGTCTTCTCTCTCTGGTACTGCACCTACTGAGTCCTTGCACACTTTCACACTTGACTCTGGTGCTTCGCGCTCTTTCTTTAGAGACAGCACCACGCTCACGCCGCTCAGTCGGCCTGTTGCGGTCTCCCTTGCTGACCCCTCAGGGGGCCCAGTCCTTGCACACTCCTCCACGGTTCTACCGTGTCCTGCGGCCCCGTCGGGCTTGCTGTCGGGACTCCACCTCCCCTCGTTCTCTACGAACTTGGTGAGTGGAGCTGACCTCCAGGACGCGTGGGTTGACCAGTTCACCCCTGGAGGTCAGCGTGTGACCCACTGCACTTGCTCTCGGACGGGCCGCCACCTGGCCACGTTCACCCGTCGGCCTGGGTCGAGTCTGTACACACTGACTACTGCGCCTCCTCCGGCCTCTGCGTCTGGTCAGGTAGTTGCGTCCAGTCAGGTGTTTGCTGCCGCATCCAGGTCTAGTCCTGCGTCTACCCCCTGCTCGTGTCGTCCTCTGGCACACGAGACTCTCCTGTGGCACCACCGCCTTGGTCACCCCTCCCTGCCTCGTCTTCGAGGTATGGCCTCCCGTGCCCTTGTCTCGGGTCTACCCAGGTCCCTCCCTCCCCTTCCTCCGGGGCCTGCCCCCACCTGTGTTCCTTGTGTCGAGGGCCGGCAGCGCGCCGCCCCTCACTCCTCCTCGTTCCCTCCGACTGAGGCTCCTCTGCAGACTCTTCACATGGACGTGTGGGGCCCAGCCCGCGTCCGTGGACAGGGTCACGAGCGCTACTTCCTCCTGGTCGTTGACGACTACTCGCGTTACACCACAGTCTTCCCCTTGCGCAGCAAGGGTGAGGTCCCTGAGGTGTTGATCGACTGGATCCGCGGTGCTCGTCGCCAGCTCAGTGAGAGTTTCGGCTCAGACCTTCCTGTTCTGCGTCTGCACTCCGACAGAGGTGGGGAGTTTTCCTCCGACCTCCTGAGAGCCTTCTGTAGTTCGGAGGGCATCCGCCAGACGTTCCTGCTTCCGGCCTCCCCGCAGCAAAATGGGATTGCTGAGCGCCGCATTGGCATGGTCATGGACGTCGCTCGTACGTCCATGATCCATGCGGCTGCTCCCCATTTTCTGTGGCCGTTCGCGGTTCAGTACGCTGCGCATCAGATCAACCTTCAGCCTCGGGTCTCCTTGCCGGAGACCACACCTACTCTGCGGTGGACGGGGAAGGTTGGCGATGCGTCCGCGTTCCGTGTCTGGGGATCTCGAGCTTTTGTCCGCGATACTACAGCGGACAAGCTGTCCTCCCGTGCCGTTCCCTGTGTCTTCCTTGGCTTCCCTCCTGACGCACCCGGGTGGCAGTTCTACCACCCCACCTCGCGCCGTGTTCTGTCCTCTCAGGACGTCACGTTCGACGAGTCGGTGTCGTACTACCGTCTCTTTCCCTACCGCACTGCCTCTCCCCCACCCCCGCTGCTCTTCCTGGCAACAGGTACTCCCCCGGTAGACCCACTCCCCCCCCAGGGTCCTGCCCCCTCAGGTGTGTCCCAGGTAGACCCTGCCGAGCCGGTCGAGGTAGCTGTCGACTCAGGTGCTGCTAGGGGTGCTGCGACTGGGGGTGCTGAGACTGGGGGTGCTGAGCCTGGGCGTGTGGAGCCTGAGGGTACTGCGTCTCGAGGTACTGAGCCTGTGCGTGCTGAGTCTGGAGGTGCTCTAGGTGTCCCGTCACGGCGGGAGCTCCTCTCTCCACAGCAGCTGAGTGGTACTCTCGGCGCTGTCGAGGTGCTGCTGGTGCTGGTGCTGCTAGAGCTGCTGGAGGTGCTGAGGGTGCTGCTGGAGCTGCTGGAGGTGCTGCGGGTGCTGCCGCTGCTGGAGCTGCTGGAGGTGCTGCTGGTGCTGGAGGTGCTGCTGGAGCTTCTGACGGTGCTGCTGGTGCTGGCGCTGCTGGAGGTGCTGCTGGTGCTGGAGGTACTGCTGGTACTGGCGCTACTGGGAGTGCTGCTGGTGCTAGAGGTGCTGCTGGAGCTTCTGGAGGTGCTGCTGGTGCTGGCGCTGCTGGAGGTGCTGCTGGTGCTAGAGGTGCTGGAGCTGCTGGCGGTCCTGCTAGCGCTGCTGGCAGTGCTGCTGGTGCTGGAGCTGCTGGAGGTGCTGCTGGGACTGGAGACCCTGGAGCTGAGGGTCCCGGTTCTGTCTCTGTTGTTTCTGGAGGCGCTGCGCGGCCGCGGCCGTACTACGTTCCGCTCCTTCAGCAGGTTCTTGGTCTACCGCCTTCTCCTGGTCCTCCTCCTCCTTTACTGAGTCCACCGCCTGTCCAGTCCCAGTCGCAGTTGCAGCCGGCCTCTCCACTGCCTGGTCCTTCTCCTTACTCCGGACCGACTAGAGGTCTTACGGAGCGTCGTGAGCCTGAGTCTCGTCCTGTGTCGCCTGCGTCTCGTTTTGCGTCACCTGTCCGTCCTGTTCGCGCTGGTCGTGTTTCGCGTCCGCGTCCTCCTCCTGTCCCTGGCACTCACTCTATGACTCTGCGTCCTTCCACTGCTCCACAGCGTGTCCCTTTGCCGTCTCCTCCTGCGTCCTCTCTTCCTGACGGTCCGGACCCGGAGTCTGACTCCCTTCGTGCTGCTAGTCCTACTGTCACGCGCTTTCTAGCCACTGCTGTCACTGACCCTCTGTTTGAGTCCTCTGCTGCGTCTGCTCTAGTTGCTGAGCTTGTTGACTTTGCTGCAGCCTGTCGCCTAGACTACGAAACTAGCCTTGTTGCTGAGTCTGCGTCTGTGTCTGTCTGTCCTCCGTCCGTCGGGGGTGAGTGTGCTCTTGGCATGGACGTTCTTGAGGACAGACAGGAGGAGTTTGAGTGCTTTGCTGCTTCTGTACCTCATCTCGTGTCCATGCTGCTTGCCCCTGAGGGAGACCCGGATGCACCAGACATCCCGACCCCGCGCTCTTACGCAGAGGCGATAGAGGGTCCCTACTCCTCCCAGTGGCAGGCAGCCATGGACGCCGAGATGGCTTCCTGGAAGTCCACAGGCACCTACGTCGACGAGGTTCCCTCGCCTGGGGCGAACATCGTCAGTGGCATGTGGATCTTCAGGGTGAAGCGGCCGCCGGGCTCTCCGCCTGTCTACAAGGCGCATTACGTTGCACGTGGCTTCAGTCAGCGACAGGGAGTTGACTTCTTCCAGACCTTCTCCCCTACCCCGAAGATGACCACTCTTCGGGTACTACTGCACGTAGCTGCTCAGCGTGACTACGAGCTCCACTCGCTTGACTTCAGCACAGCCTTCCTACAGGGCAGTCTGCACAAGGAGATCTGGCTGCGCCGCCCACCTGGCTTCACTGGGTCGTTTCCAGCTGGTACCCAGTGGAGCCTCCGGCGGCCAGTCTACGATCTCCGTCAGGCACCTCGTGAGTGGCACGACACACTCAAGACGACTCTTGCTGCTCTTGGTTTTGCTCCTTCCACTTCTGACCCTTCTCTGTTCTTACGCACTGACACTACTCTGCCGCCGTTCTACGTTCTCGTGTACGTAGACGACCTCGTCTTTGCTACTG